TGGATGGATTGTGGATGGATTGTGGATGGATTGTGGATGGATTATGGACAGATTATGGATGGATTGTGGATGGATTATGGATGGATTGTGGATTGGATTGGGGCTGGCATTATGGATGGCTTCTGGATGTATTGTTGGACCTGGATTGTGGATCGGATTATTGACACGCTTTTTTATGGATTGTGGATGGATTATGGATGGATTATGGATGGATTGTGGATGGATTGTGGATGGATTGTGGATGGATTGTGGATGGATTGTGGATGGATTATGGATGGATTGTGGATGGATTATGGATGGATTGTGGATGGATTGTGGATGGATTGTGGATGGATTGTGGATGGATTGTGGATGGATTGTGGATGGATTGTGGATGGATTGTGGATGGATTGTGGATGGATTGTGGATGGATTGTGGATGGATTATGGATGGATTGTGGATGGATTGTGGATGGATTATGGATAGATTGTGGATGGATTATGGATGGATTGTGGATGGATTATGGATGGATTGTGGATGGATTGTGGATGGATTGTGGATGGATTATGGATGGATTGTGGATGGATTATGGATGGATTGTGGATGGATTGTGGATGGATTATGGACAGATTATGGATGGATTGTGGATGGATTATGGATGGATTGTGGATGGATTATGGATGGATTGTGGATGGATTGTGGATGGATTGTGGATGGATTGTGGATGGATTATGGATGGATTATGGATGGATTGTGGATGGATTGTGGATGGATTATGGACAGATTATGGATGGATTGTGGATGGATTATGGATGGATTGTGGATGGATTATGGACAGATTGTGGATGGATTGTGGATGGATTATGGATGGATTGTGGATGGATTATGGACAGATTGTGGATGGATTGTGGATGGATTATGGATGGATTGTGGATGGATTATGGATGGATTGTGGATGGATTATGGATGGATTGTGGATGGATTGTGGATGGATTATGGATGGATTGTGGATGGATGAGCCCAAAAAGCGAGAGCGAATTCTGAAGAATGTTGGTCCAATCAATTCGGAGCCATGCTTTGGGTATCTTTGGGTCCTGAGCTCCTCTGCCATGGCGCTTCATGGCTGAGGCCTCTCTGTGGCATGTGTCTCTACTTTGGATTGGTGCATGAACTCAGGTGATCAAACCTGCGGTTTCTTGAACTTTTAGGGATTATCTCCTCCAAATCATGCAGAATTTATGAATCTGTGCTGGACATTTGTTTCCACAGTTGAAGCCCCTTGAAACTTCTTTGCGCAAACACGGTTTTGAGATGTTTGGCTCTTGAAGCAGATGCTTGGCTCTTGAAGCAGTACTGGATTGCACCCTGGATTGGGAACAAAACAATGGCAAGTTACTTCACCTCTAATTTGTTACATAATTATATGATACAATATGAGACAATAGGACACTTGCACATCATACTACGTTTGTGTGCACATCTAGAACATGCCATGAGGTTGTTCGGCAAAACCAACGATTGTGGGATACAGTAACAGTGATGATACAGCTACTAAAATAGCTGGGTTTCATGGATGTTCATCCCAAAAAAGGTGTGTTATAGGTTTTGACCCAGCCCCGTATCATTGAACAGCATTGAGCTGGAATCATATGGGTCAAACAGGACCTCCAACTTGCGAAGGTCCAATCACCGATATGTCTGCGCAAGAAAGACATCACTTGGCCCCTATGTGGGGAATGGGTTGTACCATGTTGTGCCCCTCCCATGTCGATCATTTTTATTATTTGAAAGAGCCATGGACCGACCAATCTTTGTACAAGCCCAGGCTCACCCCGCGGGTGTCCACTTCATATGCTCAGGGCGCAGTTGGTCACAGTGGGGAAGCCCGGCGAAAGATGGCTGCATGCCACTGCAATCTGAGTCGAGTTATGAAAATGAAGTAAAGCAAAGTCCAAAAAGATAATGAGAAGCTAGGCGTTTAATGCCGAAGTTCTGGGTTTCGATTTTTGACCTATACCATCCCAGATGTTCGCGATTTTCAATGTGGTCATTGAAAATGGTGAGTAAACGTTGTCTATGACATTCAACACAAGTAGCAAAAATGATGAACGTATGCATTGCTGCCTTGCTTTGGTTTGCTCAATAGCGAGACAGATGTCGATTGTCCACAGAGAGATAGAGAGAGAGAGAGACATGGGCTAAAATGCAATGAATCTCGACTGGCGAATTCTTCCTCTCGGCACAAGAGACACTGGCGACACTGGTACCAAATGCAGCAAGTGCATGCAAGTGCGTCATCAGGAGTTGGCCGGCCTGGGATTCCTGAAAAATTGCAGTTTTTGTGATAGTTTTTGTCGGCAGTTTTTCGGACAAACGAGAAAAAGTCTGGGAAATTGGGGATAGTTTGGGTTGCCCAGTTTGATCTGGTATATCTATCATTATCTATCTATCATTATCTATTATAATTCTATAATATTATTCAATAATATTCCATATATATATATAGTTATATAATATCATATATATATTGTTATAATTATAATATATAGATATAGTATATCTGATAGTTCAGCTTATCCCATCAGCATCCATCCCGCCGAGCCCAGCGACGCGTCAAACGTTACGCGGCTCAGGGGCCTTTGTTCCCGACGTTCGGGAGGTCAACATACGCGGAGGCGCCTCGGGGGATCGGAGCAATGGGTCGCTATGAAAAATATGACCCTCTGGTAATTTAATGGTATTTGAATGGGATTTTAATTGAAAATCCAATTTTTAGCTATAAAATCCCATTGAATCACTATTTGAATGGGATTTAGAATGATTTCATGGGATTTTATAGTGATTCAACGGGATATTTTCATGGGATTTACCCTCTGGTAAACTAACATAGCTATTGAAAATGGCCATAGAAATAGTTGAGAAATACCCATGGTTCGAATGGTTAGTTTTTATCATATGATACATATGACTGGGGAATAAAGATCCAGCACCAGCTATGACTTAGGCCATCATCCGGGTGCCAGGGTTTTGACTCATAGCCAATGGGAAATCCACCCAAAATGTTGGAATCGATTAAGGGAATATGCTAGCATGCGCTGTAAACATGTTTCTTTTTGGGGGGTCCTTAAGCAAATTTGCAAATTGTCGGATCGTGTATGGAGGGGATACCGTAAAACCACTAGAAAAGGGTATGTCCAATGAGCCCATTTATTCAATAACCAGTGTTCGGGCATACAATAGTAACTCATACCGATGCCAAAAATAGATAAAGTGGGAACTCCGCAAGACATATTATGCCCTAGGCGTAGGCTCCCATGCAGATGGCGTAGGTTGCGTAGGCATTGACACAGGCTTGTTTTGGCCTACACCGCGTAGGCTTTGTGCAGACACTCGTTGGCAACAGTTAGAACTCATTCACTTTGCCTTGATTAGTTGTGATATTTCTGGTTTTTGGTTCCAAAGCCTCACGCCACAATCGAAAACAAAAAAAAGCATGGCCGCGTAGACAAAGCCTACACCGGGTAGGCTCGCCCTTAAACAGTACCCCGCGTAGGCAATCGTGCAATGGCGTAGACTCGGCGTAGACAGTTGCGTAGGTTATATGTTACCGGTCATCGAAAGACAAGGATAAAAAAGACTATATATCACTCCTCATCGCTCCTCGATGGTTTGGCCTCTCTATCAGCATTTGGCTGTGAATTCATTGGATGGTTTGGTAATTTGAACTGCAACATGTTTGGTTGCCATTTTGTAACGTGTTTAGCGATCCTCGGCAACCACCATTGGTGGCCACGCAGCTGGCAGCTGGCAGGGCAAGGCTTTAAGACCTTCGCTACCTGGCTCAATGGAAAAAGCCGTCAGTTTTGATGAGAAATTCCGTGTCAATGCATTCAACTACCACATAGTATCCATATACAGCTTTATCCCAAGATTATATGTTCGAATGTTTTACATACTCACCTAAATTCAGAGCCGGTAATTTGTGTAATCTTGGAATTGCTGGAGCAAGTATTCTTGAAATCAAGTTATCTCCTGATGATTTCAGACCAATGCCATGTACCCTCCAGGCATTTTGCCGATTCGTATCAGATTATGCAGTATCAAAATTATCAGATTTTGGGTTTGCCAAAGTCCCAGTGGGATTTTAGGGGTTGCCGAAGTCTAATGGTATCGAACCAGTTATCTGAAATTTGCTCATGATAAACAGCAAACAAGGCACATGTATTGGTGAAATTTGCAAGTTTGCCTGAATCCCAGTTGGTTTGTATTTGTTCGAAAAATATCTCCATGCGCGTTTTTGTTGAGTAAAGCGGCCCACGTTTATTGGTTCAAGCTGCCTGACAAGGCTCCCACCGGCATGTGACGCGGGTCCCTGAGAGCCGCAGCTGAAGCAGCTGATGCTCCTTGCAGATCTGACAAGGGATCAACCTAGTTTTAATAACTGGGGCGACCCAAAGGCAAAAAAAACTTTGGCACAGCAATGAAGAGGTTTGTTCGGGAAAATCTATATAATTTCTTTGAAGTTTTTGATTTTCAATGACTTGTGTACATCATGTTCACGTTTGCATCATCGTGTTTCATCGTGTTTCATCATGATTGATCTGCTGGGGTGAAATGAGCAGAACACAGACAATGAGCATTGCCTCTGCAAAAGAAGCGTCGGCAGTGCTTTTGAGTCTTGAACCGAAGTGGGTACGCCGGGTACGGAGTCAGGTGACAACATGAAAATCGTGAAACAAGCTCCTGATTGGTGAGTTTTCGCCCATAATCATCCATTTATAAATGGATTGTCCATTATAAACTATTATAAACCATCCATTTTCAAGGGGTATTCCCATGACTATGGAAACCATCACATGTTCCATTTGTTTCTCGAGGAAAATCTTCCAAAGCTGGAACGGTTTCGCAGGAGGCTCAAACCATCCACATGATGAAGACGGAGATCGCGAGAGCATGGCCCGGTGGAAGGCCACATGTGTTTTCGGAGTCCCAGCAAGGCATTGGGGGTTCACCAACCAAAATGGGATGTCTATGGATGTCTAATCTGATCTAATCTGTAATCAGGATGTTTTTTTGACCAGCCATGGGAGTTAAAGAAACACGCATGCACACCGGGATGGCACAGGGACAAAAAAAATCATAAAGCACGGGAAAACAAGCTGTCGAAGATCTATCCAAATCCAGCAGTGCTTTCGCACCCCGCAAATACACCATGGATTAGAAAGTAGATGTAAGTAGTAAATTCTGGTTCTCCAAATGTGTTTCTGTCAAGTGTTTCTTTGATTTCCTTTGTATGTGCTGACTTTCTAAAGGAGTTTTGCAACGACGTGGGGACGGATTGAGGCTGGATTCTCTCCACAGCCATGCGGTTTAATCCCATATGCCAAAGAAAACAGGGCTGACTGGCTTGATTAAAGTGAAAGTCGAAAGCAAAATTACGAAAAACATGGAACATTGGGTGAAAATCATTGAAAATATACAGGAATATTAGGGAAAATTGGATGATGTTTCTATGGTTCCTGTCTAAAATCTTGACACAAAGCCACCTGCAATAGGTACGATTTGATTCACTGCAACTGCATTCACTTCTGCGAGGCTGGTTTTCGTAGCAGTGGATGGAATGGGGTACCCACTTTTCAGACAAGCCAGGTTTATCATTCGTAAAATCATGTAAAGGGGTGTGGCCAACTCTCTTTTCATAATTGTTCATATCGTTAAAAGTCATATTAGCCCCTTCCATGAACCTCATGAACTGTCATGAACCATGTGATCATATGGTTTTGTCTAAAAGGTGATGATCTTTTTACCGAGAAAAAATTGGTTTAAATCAAGGCTTTAATCCACTGGACTTGGGAACTTGGGATGTCAAGGCCGCAAAACCCGATTTTTGGTGGGTCCCAGGGCCTGAACTGTTGGATCCATCTACATTCATAGCTATCCATCTCCATTCTCCATCTCAGACATCATATAGTTATAATATGTTATATGATTTACATATATATATATATTGATATATGATATCCTGATTTTGTATGGTTATACCTGTATATCCACATCCATCCCCATATTGATGCATCATCTCATCATCTCAGCACATTTTCCTCAACCATTTCGCAGGAGTTGGCAAAGCGCCTCGGGGCGCAGCCTGTGCCTTCCTGGGTGACCCAGCTGCAGGGGAGTACAACGTAGCAGAAACACTTGTCATTTATAGATATATCATTTTTATATATATCATAAATATTATATATTATATTATATATTATATTATATATTATATTATATATTATATTATATATTATATTATATATTATATTATATATTATAGTATATATTATATTATATATTATATTATATATATATTATACAATTTATATATTTTATATTATATATATATGATATATATTGGATATATTAGATATATTAGATATATTATATATATTAGATATCTTTATTTTTTGGAAATTGAGCTGGGGCTTGGAAAACGATAATACACTCTTCAAAAAACGGTAACGGTAACATTTGCTTGTATACCAAAACCTGAAAAACAATAATAGACTCTTCAAAAATGGATGACTTGGAGCTATATACCAAATACTGACCGTGGCCCGTATATATATAATATGTTTTATAATATGTAAAATGTATAATTATAATATATATATATATAATAAATATAATATATGTAATATATAATATAATATAACATATGTAATATATAATATAATATTACCCACAGGCACCTTGTGTTGCCCAAGCCCAGAATAGCGTAAATTACAAGGATTTTTTGTTCACACTATACATCTCATATAAATTCTCCCACCCCCGTTAAACTTCTACATTCATTGAAGATCTTCAATAAGGGTTTAATTCTCCCACCCCCGTTAAACTCTTCCATTCATTGAAGATCTTCAATAAGGGTTTAATTCTCCCACCCCTGTTAAAC